ATTTCTTTGTTTTACCAGTTTGATGCAAAATAATAAATTTAGTTTGGCCACTTTCGTTGGAGATTGCTGCTATCTCTAATGTGGTTTGAATTGGATCAACTTTAACTATAGCTTTAAATTCTTCAGTGGCGACTTTAGTTTTCCTCGAAACGCATTATTCAGTTCAAGCCAATAATGTATCGAGCCGTCATTTTAGCTACCAGGTCCATGCACTTTCGACACTCATATTCAAAAATACCGTAGTAAAAATGTAAAATCGTTGTCTACTTTAATTTTTGTATTGATGTGTCGAATGCTTCATGTATTTGAATTTTGTAAAATGTCACCGTTAAATGGTATGGAGCACAGGTGGGAATTGAAAGCAACATATTTTTCTATGGAAATTCCAAATGGAACGGGCCTCTAAAAATATTACATCTTTACTTCTCTGACCAAAAATATTTTAAAACCGACAACACAGCATAAACCATTCAAAAACTATAAACAAGGTTAAACATCTTAACTTAATAACCTTTTACATTGTAACGCACAACAATTAAATTATAAATGTATAACTTTACATAAGTTTAAATAATATTACGGACAAGTTTAGATAAACAACACTTTGTATTGAAATATGACGTCATCACGTACTGGCGTTTCATTGAATTTAAATTTTAAGTAGAGTCGTGACTAATAAATTCTTCTGCTCTAAGCCAAAACAACGTTATAAAAGATTTAACTTTTTACAAAAAGTAAGAATCGACTTCCAAATACCACTGCTGCACTGTTATTTGTAAAAACCAGTGTATTCTTAATAATTTATATTATTAAGAATACACTGGTTTTGGTATTGTGGTAATTGGTAGTTTCACATCCAGTTTTATTCGACTCTCCAAAGTTATTGCCGAAAATACATTTATCATTCAAAACTTGCAATTATACATGTTACTAATATCAATAATCTATAATACATCTGCTTCGTTTGTAAGCAAAATCTAAATTTATGTGTTAGACCAACATTTTAAATTTAATGATTCCATTAGACCTCCATGGCCTCCCTCCATAAATACTTTATTCACTGGAGATAAATTTTATTTCATAATATGAGGCATGTGATTATATTTGTTTAATCTGTATTTTAAAAAAATGTTGAACCTCGCGATAAAAAATCCAAATGAAACATGGATAATTTAATACCTAACCTTGGAAATCCGACTTTGGCACCATTGAAATTGATGATTGCAATGTTAAGTGATCGACGCTTAAAATATTAAATAATTAAATCCTTATCGGGGATTAAAATATGTCCCCGCGCATTTTTAGCTACGTGTATTTATTTCGTGCTACAGGTCTCATATTTTAAAGACATGGTTACATCCTATCAGCAATTTAAATAAAATTAAATCTAATTTAAAATATTCTTGTTTGTTTGTCTCTTTTTTTCTGACTTTAAGTTGTCTTTTTTGTTTTGAAATTGCCTTTAAAACAAAAAAGAAAACATTATTAGATTTCGAGTTTCGACCTACATAAGTGAACATTATTTTACGTTAAAGCGATTACTAAGTGGTAATTGGCAATTAAGCAAATGTAGGAAATGTATATTACTTACGGTTGGAGGTAATCCGACACTTGGTTGACTGCCTCGCCTTCTTGGATCACAATTAATATTTTCCACGGCTCGGACCAATAAATAAAAAACAAAAGGTGTGCTGCGTAACTTTCAAATGATGCAAAAACTATGCTCAACTTATTATAAGAACTCACACTCGCGTGTACGTATTATATTACATATCATTTTTTATAGTATAAGGGTTACAAACGAGCACACACCAGTCCACCTAATGTTAAGTGGATGCTGTGTCCCATAGACATCTACATTTATATTCAATTAAAAATCAAAACACAGATGCATTGCCAGCCATGCCATGTTAGCATTGAGATGGAATGCCTCGTTTTAAGTAAAAAGGGTCTCATGTTCTCTACACTCACCTTACGAAACACAGCACCATTAAGCTGCTATTTTACGCTGGTATTCTGTGAGAGCGTGGTCCCACCGCGGTCGAGCCGACCCATTCGTGCTGCAACCACAATATAGCTGCAGCATGGCTCTACCACGTAAAAACTTTTACATTTCAGGTACATTATACGTGTGCGTCCAGGACTGAAGTCTTAAGGGGGAGAAAGAAGAATGATGTGTGCGTGATTGTATGTAAACTTGTGCATGGCTTCGGCATCATTTGAAATGTGCGCAGCGCTGCGTGTTTCTTTCTTTGTTGGTCTGTGTTTCGCAATTGATGTTATATCACTATTAAGCTTTTTATGCTTTCTTGATCATTTAACTTTATTGAGTTGCTTATTAATAAATTAGCTGAGGTGTTAACGGAAATAAAATTGCCTACACTCGATCCTGGTGAAATAGTTAACGGTGCGAGACGTCTGGCGCTGCGATCGTTAAGTCGCCTGCCGAGCGTGACGACAAATTCAAATTCTCCCTACAACGGGAGAGGCGTGTCCAGCTGTGAACTGTTACGTTCTGATGAAGAACAAGTGGTAAATACTTATTGCGAGAAAATCTGCAGGTTTTAATTGTTTTATCATGTGTTGAAAATACGAAGAAATATCCTTGAAATACGTAAAGTTCACAGTTTTTCTATTATTGAACAAGAAATTCCGAAAGAAGTGGAAAGGGGTATGGAGATAAGTGTAGATGAAATAATGAAAGCAATGAAATGCATGAAAGCAGGTAAGGCAGCTGGATATGATAGAGTATCACTCGAGATGCTAAGGGCTGGAGAGGGATTGGTGGCAGGCCTGCTGTACACCTTGTTTAATTTATGTTGGGAATTAAAACGGGTACCGGATGACTGGTGTAAAGCAGTTATAGTACCAATATATAAAGGAAAAGGGTCACAGCAGGACTGCAAAAACTACCGTGGTATCAGCTTGCTTAGTATTGTGGGTAAACTGTATGCTAAGGTGTTAATTGAAAGAGTTATGAAAGAAACTGATGGAAAAATTTGGGATGTGCAAGCGGGTTTTAGGAAGGGAATGGGGTGTACAGATCAAGTCTTTTCCATGCGCATGATTGCGGAGAAGTTTTTGGCTAAAAACCAGAAAGTTTTTTGTGCGTTCATGGATTTGGAAAAGGCTTATGACAGAGTGGACAGGAATGTGTTATGGCAAACACTGAACTCATATGGGTTGAGCGCTGGTTTGATACAGGCATTGAGGTCTCTTTATAGGGACTCTAGTGCTTGTGTCAGGATCAATGGGGTCTACTCGGACTGGTTTGGCATCCGAAAGGGTGTCAGACAGGGCTGTGTGGCTTCCCCTTGGCTGTTCAACCTATTTATGGACAGGTGTTTGCAAACTTTGAAAGATGAAGAATGTGGGTTAAGAATGGGCGAGTTAACCGTCAAATGCCTTTTGTATGCCGATGATCAAGTCATATTTACGTCATCGGCGGCTGAGTTGCAAATGATGGTTACATTAATGAACTGGGCATTAAAAGAAAGGGGAATGAAAGTGAACGCAAGTAAGACGAAAGTAATGGTTTTTGAAAGAGAGGAAAGCAAAACGGTATGTGAAATAAGAACAGAAGGAGAGTTAATTGAGCAAGTGGATGAGTTTGTGTATTTGGGATGTGTATTTAGCAGGGATGGTAGATATGATAAGGACATAGAACGACGAGTAAATGCATGGAATAGAGTGAATGGGGCACTACACTCTATTGTGAAGAACCAGAATGTATCAAAAAAGGCACGTATGGTAATTCATAATGCTGTGTTAGTCCCTACTTTAATGTATGGTAGTGAAAGCTGGGTGTGGCAGAAGAAGCACGAAAGTAGAATAAATGCTGTAGAAATGCGGTCTTTAAGGAGTATGCTAGGGTTGAATCTGAATGACAGGATGAGAAATTGCATGATAAGAGATAAATGTGGTATGCAAGATGATGTTGTGACCAGGATTAAGAAAGGAATGCTTCGGTGGTTTGGTCATGTAGAAAGAATGAATGAGGAAAGAGTGACAAAACAAATTTATATGGCAGATGTGAACGGCAGAGTCGGGAAGGGACGCCCTAGAAAAAAGTTTATCGACCAAATTGGCGATATTTTGAAAATGGGCCCCGTTAAAAGTACCCTTAACCGACTAGCATGTATGCGTAGATATATGGATGTAAAGGAGGCGAAAGAGGTATGTCAGGATCGTGTCAAATGGAAGTCCGTGGTCTCTGCCTACCCCTCTGAGTGACAGGCGTGAGTATTTATGCTATGCTATATATATAAAAAAGGGGTAATAGTAGTTCCAAAAATAAAATATTATAAATTATCTCTACTAAAATAGCTTCTCATCAGCACAAAAGTTTGAAATTACATAGCGGAAAATACCACGAAGATTTTCAGTACTAACCGCTAGGTACAATGGTAATCATTAAGCTAAACTAAACTAGGACTCCAACATATTAAAACTTCATCATCATTCATCAACATTGTAGCTTTTTTACAAGTCTACTGCCAATGTTTTCTGTGACTTCTCAAAGCTTAAAGGCATTGGACAGTGTAAATTATAAAACTTTTATTATTTAACTTTAATATTACAGGATACATTTAGATTTTGAAAGTTCGACCGTGTGTTTAGGATTCGATTCAAGTTTCGGCCAGGAGCACATAATATTTGCATGCGGGAATATAGGATGCACATATTAATAAATTGGTTTGGAAAACAAGTTCTGCAATCTTTGCTATTGGAATGATTAATAAGTTGACTAATAATGCAACAGTTAAATTAGTCTACTTTGAATACTTCGACTGTACATTATTTTTTTAACGTCAGTTTAAAGAATATATCAGCAACCAGGGAACAAGTGCAGCGTAAAAGTTATTTTCACACCACTTTTAAAGTAGAATTTTCTAGACAACATTTCTTTAAAACGGTTTTTAAAACTTCATTTAGAGGTTAAACAAACTTACTTATATCAGCCTAGTTACGCTATTGAACACTAGAGGTCGGGAAATAATATGCAAAGTAATTATTTTATTATGGTTAATATTATATCATAACTAGTGAGATTATTCCCCCAATATCATAATATAAATCAAATAACATTCAGAAGAACAATTGAGAAAATTGAGAAGAAATGTAAATTTTGTTTTTCTTTATTGATCAGCAATTTAGACTCCAAACTTAATTACCTACAAAAATGAAAAAAAAAAATATGAAGACTTTCCAAAATAATTTACTATACATTACATATTTCATCCTATTAAATTCATATTACATTATAATTTCATATTACATTATAATTTCATATTACATTCTAATTTCATATTCATATAGGTTCAAGTACTAAACTGAAATCAAAAGAAATAAATAAGCGCCATCTCTATGTATAATTACAAACTTGACAAAATGGTCGTGAAAAAAGCGCTAGCAAGCAAAAGCGCAGAAAGGTTTTTGGCGACGACACGACACTACTGGCCCAAAACCCCCCCCCCCCCTTTTTTTTTTTTTTTTTTTTGAGGGATAAATATTTTTTTTTTTAAATATAATTAAAAAAAAAAAAAAAAAAAAAAGATATAAAATAAAAAAAAAATGGCAAAAAAACAACAAGGAAAAACACGACACCCCCTCCTCATTTTGCCTTTTTGCTCTCAAGCGCCTTGTCCTTCAATGTCAAGATAGTTTTTATCCACCACAGTCCACAGAACCACAGCGCCTCCAGTGTCAAGCAACGAGGAAGGAAATCTGTCAAGTGTCAACGTTTTCCAATATCAATGTTTGATCACAGAGTTGTTTTTCTCTAGTATATACACAGTAATCTATGGTTGTTTGATAAGAAACGTCAGTGATGAGGCTGTCGCCATTACATATCCATTTCGCAATTTCTGTTGTTGAAAGAAATTGCTTGTGTCAAGTAAATAGCGCGAGATTTGTATTTGTTTAAAATTTACATTATTATATTCAACAGCGTATTTTGTTTGTTCTAAGGTAAGTCCCGCATTTTTGTATTTAATTTTATTAAATTTGTTAATATTTATGATTTTAAATATTTTACTATTAAAATAATCCTAATAATTTTGCTATACAAAAATATTTGCAGATGGCACCTCCTAGACGAATATTAAGACAACAATTGGAGATTTTAATGGATTTTTTGGAAGAAAATAAGGACATGTCTAAAGGTTTACCTCCTGGAACACCAGTATCACATCAGGCAACTAGGCAGAAGTGGGCAGCTTTAGCCAAGAAACTCAATGCTGTTCAAACGGGTGCTTTGAAAACACCTGATGGTTGGAAGAAAGTAAGATTCAAAATATATACTTAGTACCTAATATCAGCAAATCACTGTTGAAATTTGACTGTTTTTATTATAATAATATCGACATGATTCCCTTTTGAAATGAGTAGAGTTCTCTGGGTATAAATATGAGGTATAATGACTCCCTATCAAAGTTTACTACTGAATATAGGCCTCACCATGGATTGCCTTACAAAGGGGATATTTGCCGCAGTTGCCACACTTGGCGGGTGGGTTGATAACCGCAGTTTCTCATTAATTATTGTTAGGAATATGTTGCTGCCCAGCACCTTGTTTGTATCTCTCTGTCGCCTCTTAGAAAATCTCCCATAGACAATGTGAGGTAGTAAAAATCTTACACCTTAATTATATGATAAATGTAGGAAAGTTTAGTGAGTATAGTGGAAAATGTTTAGAGTTGTACTAGATAATTATTCTATAAATAAATTAAAATTTATATTTATTTCTTAATTAGGATCCTTTTTTAGTACTGGTTTGAATGGCGACATAAATGCAGAAGAAAAGCAGCTGATGCACGAAGATTTCAGTCCACTTCTGATGGTGGGCCCAATAGATTTGTACCACTTAATGACTTAGAAGTTAGAGTCCTACAGCTCAGTGGAAAGGGATCAGTTACAGCTACTGTGTCATCTTCTAAGCAATTAGAAAACTTTATGGCTGAAGATTCTGATCCAGAGCAAAATACTTTTGACACTCACGTAAAAAGTGGAAAAGTGAAGCAGTCAATTAATTTATCAAAAGCACACACAGGTATGTATTGCTGGGATTAATGTCTTCTCCCTTTTTTATAAATCAAACCATTGAAACTCAAGAGTATATTTTTGTTAAGAAAAGGATTCCAGTATGGGATAATTAAAGAATTGCTATGGGATGTTTATGAAACAATTGCTATGGGATGTTTACGAAACAATTGCTATGGGATGTTTACGATATGAACCCAATAACACATGGTTTCCCTAATTCATTAATTACCGCTACAGCCTATTAAAGTCCACCGCTGAACATAGGCCTTCTCCCATAGATTGCGTATTAGGGGGGATATTTGCAATAGTTGCCATGCTTGGCAAGCGGGTTGGCAACCTCAGTTTTTTTTTAGTTTTTATTAGGTAGAAACTGTTGCCTGTCTCCTGATTTATTTCTCTTTGTCGCCTTTTATGGCACCCATGGGATACTTTAATAGTACTACTACTACTCAAAAGTAGTACTCAAATGAAATATGTGCTAAAATTATTTATGTAAGTGAAAAGTGAATCAAAATAATATTTTTAGTTTGTATTTTTTACAGATGGTGAAGTTCGTTCTGTAACACCACCTCCGAAATGGGCGTTAGAGTTAGAGGAGAGGAGGATAGCAGCAGAGGAGCGAATGGCAGAAGCATTGGAGTCAATTTCTGGTATCATGCGAGCGCAAGAAGAAAGGCGCAGTTTGCTAGAGGATCGAGTGGCAGATGCATTGACTGCCATTGCAGGCACTGTACAGGACCTCAATAGTGGCATACAAGATGCCTTGCAACACATTCAGCAAATGCGTGTGCTAACAAATGGACCTACGATAAAAGATGATGTGTTTTTATAGATAATTCTGAGTGTCATATATTTAGGGTCAGTTTTAATGAACAATTTTATATCAATCAAAGTTATTTCCTAACTATTATAAAACATTGTATAGTTTTTAAGTGTGCACATTTTGTATGTGTGTTTATGTACATTGAATTGTGTAGTGTGGTAAAGTATAGTGTATTTTAAATTAAATATTTATGAAATATTTAAGGACTTTTTACCTCTTCTTTTTTATTTTGTATCAAATTAATACCTGCATCTGTCTGAAATAACAGATAAATGTCTCACTTTTGATAATACATTTTACAATACAATTATTGTTTTAGGAAAATTCCTGCAAAATATAAAATAATAATTAACCTTTTTTCTCATAGTCTCTGGTAGATGTAGACACAATGGTTTCATATGGTAAAAAATCCCAGTGATAAGGAACAGGGTCAATATGGCAATTGTACCAACATTGCGAGAGGCCCACGTAAAAACGTTTCATCATAATATAACCGAGATATTTATTGAAAAAAAAAATACTGATGATATTTAGTCAACTTCTTACACAACAACAACTACTTTCCATTATAAAATTGAAAACACTTATTCACTGGTCCTCATTTCAACTCTTCACTTAGAATAAAAGTCATAATTTCGTGGTCTGAGTAAAGACAGAAACACTTTATTTTGCACAGACCATGGGTATGGGACCCTATAGTCATTATGCTACCACGCCTTATGATTATGCTTATTTTTATCACCCTTACATAATTTGTCAACAGGTATGGAAGCATTAGAAACGAGTATAAATTACTGGGAGGATGCATTGGCGGCGTTTTCGTTAGGAGCGCGTGGCGGTGTGTCGGGCACGCTCGCGCTCACCTCGCCCGAGGAAGCAGAGTTCTGCCGGGAGATACAGGAGCTGCTGCAAAATGCGTATCTTTTACAGGTTATTATTTGTTTTATAAAATAAAAAAATGCCCTTTTGTTAAAGTAGAGAAGACTGAATGTTCAAAGAGAAGACAAATCCAAACATTTTTATTTCAAAGTGTCAAAATGCTATGCAATAATATTTCTTCGTTCTTAAATGTATATAACTTTTTAAATTAAAAATACGACAAGAATGTTTGTAATATTTTCACCCAAACAAAATTGAAAATACGAGGATCGATAAAGCTCATGGGAATTGTTGCAACTATGTTGTCATACTTTGTATGTTATTCATTCATATTCACATGCCCGTAGTCGGCTTGACTTGTGGTTAACATTTTCATAATAAAATAGGCTTTCCATTCATAGAAATGTGCGTATGGCGTTTATTTGAAGCTGTTCTGATGTTAACTGAATTGAAAAACGAGCACACAGTCCATGTGATGATAAACGGACTGTGCAATGTGCAGGAGCGGTGCGAGCTGCTGTTCCTGGACCAGCGCTCGGTGCTGTTCCGGTCGGAGAGCGGCGGCGAGGCGGCGGCGGGCGCGCGCTCGCGCCTGCTGTCGCACGCACACTCCTCCGAGCACACGCGCCGCGACCACCACTCCAGCGCGGAGTCCTTCGCCTCCGCGGAGGACCAGGTCGATAGCTTTTATTGCTTACTTTGTCTTATGTTTCATGTCTTGCATTCCATTTGCAGGCTTTGAAGCGTTCCATCTTGCCTTCAAAGGCGACAACGCTCCTGCTGGGCTGGCGAAGTGGACTTTCTATAAACCTTAACGCTATTAAAATAATTATAAAAATGATCGAGAATATCATTTCTAAACGATTCACGTGATTTCATTGTATTTTATTTATAGTTTTGTATTGTCAATGGTTTGCAGTGGATACACTTAACTCTTTCACTGTCGCGTGTACTATATTATATTGTCTTACTGTTGTGTCTGAAAATAGGACAGTGAGTGTTAAATAGACTGCTTTTTTCACCCTAATTGTTTAAGAAAAAGTGTTATCATACTCCGTTCAACGTAATTGCATTTCCATTATTTTGTATAAGCCGAGCCGTAGTAGCTCAGATGGTTAATGCTCTCTGTAAATATAACAGAACGCGAGTAACCCGGGTTCGAACCCCGCCGGCACCAATAAAATTGTAATTGCAATTTTAGGTGCTGATTTACCACGTGCTCAGCGGTGAAGGAAAACATAGTGAGGAAACCTACATGTCTGAGAAAGAAGAAACAAAATATTTCGAAGACATGTGAAATTCGCCAACACCCATTGGGGCAGCGCGGCGGACACTCCCTTGCCCCAAAACCCTCAGAAATCAGTGGAGGCCTGTGCCCAGCAGTGGGACGTATATAGGCTGTAACTTTACTTTACTTTTACTTATTTTGTAAAAAATATACTTAAATTCGATGTGTACAGTGTTTGTTTAGGGTAGAATTTTTAACAGACTGTTTTTTTTATAAACTGAGGTGACAAACGAACTTCAGTCCTGATGGTAAGTGGCTACAGGTGGTTATTATCACCTTTGAGGACTAAGACGGAATGCTGTATAGCCTGTTATTATAGTAGATGCCTACAGCTTTTAGACCAGAACACAGCAGTGCAGACACTACTATTTAGCAGCAGCAATAGTAAGACTGTGGTAACGACCCAAACGCACTTTTAGGCAGAAAACGAGACCTACCGCAAGTAAAAAGTAAAAACTTGTATTATAGGAGTCGCAGGAAGGATAATATTACGCTTGTTTACTTGTTCACAACTCGAATAGCCAGTCAATAATTATTGCAATCGTTTAAATAATATCACATAATGGTGGTAGCATATCCCTACTACCTATCAAAACTGAACCAAGCAACAGTTTGAATGTGTAAGTATTATACAATCCAAATACTTTTATAATATAAAAATAAGTAAAACGCTGTTATTATGGATAAGTGAATTAATTACAGATGTTTAGAAAATGAAAACACTTATATTATACTCTTTGTAAATATCTCAAATTCTAAATTAAAAATAAACTGAGAAAATTATCTATGATAATTATATAATATGACAATACAATGACTAATAATCTATTTTATATTTGATAATTAAAAAATAATATAACAGCAAAACGATAATTATACAAATATTATTTATAACGATTCATAATAGAAATTATGTAAAAATCACTGATAACACTTGTGTTTGTCTGTTCGCTTATTAAATATTAATTGTTAACAACACAACGCAACTGCGTTACGTATATTTGCGTATTTTAAATACTTTAAAGGTGTTTAAAAAGCAAACAGATGTCTTTTGGCGATGACTATATTTAGCAGTAGACTTGTTTTTTCTGATTAACGATAAAAATATTTAAGTAAATATATTAAAAAATTATAAACACCTTTCAGGTTGCTGATTTACGAGAGTTAGATGACTTCGCAGAGATATCCACAGAAATAGACAATTTGGAATTGTATCAGATAGCTGTTAAACAACTGGAAGTTGGAATTCCGTACAGGTAGGTGTATTTCATATATCGACCTATACGTAGAACACATGACAAACATGTGAATATGGAACTAAATCATTATTATTGTATTTTTGAGTCTATGGGAATATGAGGGAATGGGGTGTACAGATCAAGTTTTTTTCCATGCGCATGATTGCGGAGAAGTTTTTGGCCAAAGACCAGAAACTTTTTTGTGCGTCCATGGACTTGGAAAAGGCTTATGACAGAGTGGACAGGAATGTGTTATGGCAAACACTGAACTCATATGCGTTGAGCGCTAGTTTGATACAGGCATTAAGGTCTCTTTATAGGGACTCTAGTGCTTGTGTCAGGATCAATGGGGTCTACTCGGACTGGTTTGGCATCCAAAAAGGTGTCAGACAGGGCTGTGTAGCTTCCCCTTGGCTTTTCAACCTATTTATGGACAGGTGTTTGCAAACTTTGAAAGATGAAGAATGTGGGTTAAGAATGGGCGAGTTAACCGTCAAATGCCTTTTGTATGCCGATGATCAAGTCATATTTGCGTCATCGGCGGCTGAGTTGCAAATGATGGTTACATTAATGAACTGGGAATTAAAAGAAAGGGGAATGAAAGTGAACGCAAGTAAGACGAAAGTGATGATTTTTGAAAGAGAAGAAAGCAAAACGGTATGTGAAATAAGAATAGAAGGAGAGTTAATTGAGCAAGTGGATGAGTTTGTGTATTTGGGATGTGTATTTAGCAGGGATGGTAGATATGATAGGGATATAGAACGACGAGTAAATGCAGGGAACAGAGTGAATTGGACACTACACTCTATTATGAAGAACCAGAATGTGTCAAAAAAGGCACGTATGGTAATTCATAATGCTGTGTTAGTCCCTACTTTAATATATGGTAGTGAAAGCTGGGTGTGGCAGAAGAAGCACGAAAGTAGAATAAATGCTGTAGAAATGCGGTCTTTAAGGAACATACTAGGGTTGAATCTGAATGACAGGGTGAGAAATTGCGTGATAAGAGATAAATGTGGTATGCAGATGATGTTATGACCAGGATTAAGAAAGGAATGCTTCGGTGGTTTGGTCATGTAGAAAGAATGAATGAGGAAAGAGTGACAAAGCAAATTTATGTGGCAGAAGTGAACGGCAGAGTCGGGAAGGGACGCCCTAGAAAAAAGTTTATCGACCAAATTGGCGATATTTTGAAAATGGGCCACGTTAGAAGTACCCTTAACCGACGAGCATGCATGCGTAAATATATGGATGTAAAGGAGGCAAAAGAGGTATGTCAGGATCGTGCCAAATGGAAGTCCGTAGTCTCTGCCTACCCCTCTGGGTGACAGGCGTGAGTGTTTATGTTTATGTATTTATTTAACTAGTGAAATAATTTTTTTTCTTAAATTAGTAGGTCCGAAGTTTACAGTCGAATAATGGCACATATGGTTTTTCCCTCCAAAGAACAACGTTACGACATTACATGCGTCACTAACCTCTGTCGGCATTGGCTCAAAGGAGTCGCGCGCGCCGAGTCATATATTCAATCGCACCTATATTCTGTGGAAAGACGGTTGCGCGCACGTCTGTTCTGTACACACTTTTTTACGTATTGTAGAATT